TGATCAGCTTAAATCTGTTTGGGCCTTGCAATTCACTCTGATGGTGCTTTATTTGCAGCAGTTTCAGAGCTTTCTACCAAACAGACAATAATCATCAGCCTTGCCACCACTACAGAGGCCATGATTTGTTTCAGTCATTTCCTCTATTTTATCTAAGCATTCCAGCATTTTCCCCAGGAAATTCTTTCCTATTCATTTTGAGTGTCTTTCAGGGAAGCCAGCAACATGAAAGTTCTGAAAAATGTTGTCTTATTTTGACATCATAATCAGATGTTTCCCCTTTCTTGCAAGCTACAGGCAAAGCAGTCCTACAGTCCTTGGTGCAAAATATGAGCTATTAAAGATGTGAGTGAGCATTAAGCTAAAATATGAAATTTTAATTCAGCCGAGGTGTGTGTATGCGATTGCGTTTTATTCCTGCCATCTCAAATCTAAAACAGGAGGCTTATTTTTAATTGTGGATAGGGTGGCCAGTTAGGCATTGCCAAATGCATCATCAAAGGACAAGTGAACAAACAAAAAAGATGCACAAAATCTGCATGTGCTAATTTATATGTATAGATGCACATTTAGGGGCACTGATGGTGTTTTGTGGCTGTATTTTTCAATGTGTCATTGGCACATTAGGCTGTACCGTCCATGTATCATTCCCCTTTATTAGTTGTCCTGGGATGTTCCCCATTGCTACTACATTATTGCTGTCCGCAGAGGCACTCCTGTGTTATAGTGCAATAAAAGTGGGACAACCCCTAGCAGTCCCGGAAACACTCCAGAACTTTTGTGGTATGAATACTTACAAGATTTAAGCAGGAAGCTATAGGACATGTGCTGATTGAAAGAAAACTGGATGTCTGCCCTGAAACATTTGCAGGAACAAACAGTATTGAACGAGGGACCACGTATTACTACTCCAATGCCATCATGAGCATGAACAATCATGAATGCACAAAATGAAGGACTCGGGAGGGGCCCCTTAGAATTACTATAATGTAAATACAGTCCCAATGTGATTAAGAGTCTCATGCTCTACCGACAGAGCTATCCACAGGATTGAAATCAGATGAATTTAAAATTTAAAGAAGAAACAATGTGCCCTGTGCTTACAGCAGTCTTATGAGTAGACAGAAATTAGATTAGTTCCAGCTCACAAACCTGGAATACAACCTGATGAAGTGAAATCTTAGCTGGCAGATATATGAAAGGGGGAAATGTGGTAGCCAAATAGCAATGAGATGCAAAACTTACAGCTAGTAATACTTAGAACTGCAGTGTATATTAAATAGGCACAACCTTTGCAGCAGCAGATTGGCAATCATTTACTCCGCAATGCACATGTAGTAGTAAGGCAGACAACCATTCACAAGGGACAACCATTCAGAAATATCCTGTTATAGGTAAGCTGATTAGCAATGAATGGTTAAGATTCTAAGAAGTAGCTCCTGCAATGTTACAAAAGCCAATGAGAGATGTGCTACAGAAAACTAATAGCAGAGCATTGAGTCCTATTGCAATAGAAATACATGAGTGCATCATGTTCCTGAAAATATTTTGCCTATTCAAGGTCTCAGATTGACAGATGCAGATAGCCAATCAAGAACAAGATAAATAAATAAATCATGGCAACTGTCTGGGACTTCGTGCCTTCTGGATCTTCCTAGTGTTAAAAGATGTATTTTAGCATTAGAGTTCTACAAGGCTGCTGTAATGCAATAAAGGACTAGAGTGTATACCTTCTTCACATCATGGAACGTCTGTTGCTAAACTGGCATTTCTTTCATATATATATATATATATGAAGATATATAGTATACAATAATATACACGTAATTGTTGCCTAGTTCCAAACAGAAGGAGGAGGAAGTTTGTACATCAGAAAAATTGCTTCCTATTGCAGCATGAATAACCCAACTGGTAGCAAATTGGCTGTTTGCCACTCAAAATTCAACTGCTGCTGAACTGCGTCCCACTTGTTCTCTGTTCGAGAGCTGATGCTATCTAGCCATAACTCCAGCACAACTGTTTATAGGCTGCCATCTGTTCAGCTCTGGATCAAAAAGGACAGAACAAGGCAGACGTTTGTCGGACAGCTTTTATCTTCCATTATCTGGCAGCCAGTAAGTCATTTGGGTTCAAGGGTCTCGAGACACCTTTGCTGCATGCATCCAGCTCCATAGCCAACAAGGCAACTGTGCATTGACAATCACTTTTTCACCTACCCTGAATATGAGGGATGCTGAAACTTTCTCATGCTAAAGGCTATATGCTGCAGTGAGGAAGGAGCTGCACTTGGAAGCAGTCAAGGTGTGGATAAGAGGAATCAGGAAGCTGGCTCGTATTAAGTCAGACTGTTTGGCTGGCAGGGCCAGCCCACCCATGAGGCAAAGTGAAGAGACTGCCTCAGATGCCAGGATCCAGAGAGGCAACAGATCCAGCCTCCAAGAAATGTGTTGCCCACTGCTGCCACTGCAGTGACAACAACAGCTGTAGCACATTCCTTGAAGGTCAGACCTGCCACCTCCTTGGCAGCCCATTTCCAGCATGCCCCCTCTACAGCAGCCACTTGATGACTAGGAGGTGCTGCTGGTCTCCTCCCACCCCTATTCCCAGTGTAGATCTTCACTCACACCTTCTTCCCCAGCCGGTGGAGGCGCCATTTTGTGGTTTGCCTCAGGGGCCAAATTCACATGGCCCAGCCCTGATTTCTGGATCTCAGAGATGGTTGTTTCACTGCATCCGCTACCAAATTCTATTGCCAGGCTTAGAACCTGGAATCTTCCGCGTGCAAAGCTCTGCCACTGACTTGCCACCTTCCCTGCATGGAATGTGTGCCCCAATCCTCTGTCTCCAGGCCGAGTAAACAAAAAAAGCATAAAAAACACTGGGAGTTATCCTGATCCAGAAACAGCCAGTATCAGATAGCATGGGGGGGTGCTCACCTGACCTCCAGCTGAACACATTTCTGCTGCTTCCCAAACTAAGCCTTTCCTAATGATTTGTTAATTAGTTTATTTCTTTTATGTTGTGGTTGTGATGTTCTACTATGTAAGCCGCTTTGCGACTCATGTGAATGAAATGGGGCATAGAAATATAATAAATAAAAATGAATAAAATAATTGATGTATATTGTGCTCTAGGAAGCCTAGTTTGGTCAAAATTGGGTACACACTTCCATAGTTAACGCTAAATACATTTGTTCTGGTAAATGAGCCACCATAGCCGCTAGAGGGCCATGAAAATTTGTGTCATGGGATTTTTAGACTCATCTACCCATGTACTAAGGGACGTGGGTGGGGCTGTGGGTTAAACCACAGAGCCTAGGACTTGCCGATCAGAAGGTCGGCGGTTCGAATCCCCATGACGGAGTGAGCTCCCGTTGCTCAGTCCCAGCTCCTGCCAACCTAGCAGTTTGAAAGCACGTCAAAGTGCAAGTACATAAATAGGTACCGCTCCAGCGAGAAGGTAAACGGCGTTTCTGTGCGCTGCTCTGGTTCTCCAGAAGCGGCTTAGTCATGCTGGCCACATGACCCAGAAGCTGTATGCCGGCTCCCTCGGCCAATAAAGCGAGATGAGCGCCGCAACCCCAGAGTCGGCCACGACTGGACCTAATGGTCAGGGTCCCTTTACCTTTACCTTTACCCATGTACTATCTGAAACCCAAGGGACACATTAGTTGCCAGAGGTGACATATATTGGCATTATTTTCAGCTCTCATACCGCACTAATAACCCTTAAGCCCTTAGTCCGCTGACCAACAAATGAGCCCAGAACCTGCTTCCCTTTGTATCTCCAGTCCCCCAGACTACTTGGATTGAGAACCGAGGGCTCTCTTTGGTAGGGCTGGACAGAAGATATTTCTTGACAAATCTGAAGAGGCACCTTAAAAATAATTCTTACAGGGAAATATATTGCCTTTCAATAAATATTCATGAACAAGAATCAGAGCAGGCTGCATTCAAGTTGCTTAAGCTTCAGGCACCAACGGGTAGACCCTGGCTTGGGTATGACCATGCACAACCCTATATGTTTCTACTCAGAAGTAATTCTCACTGTGCTCAGTGGGGCTTACTTCCATCTAAGTGAGCATAGGGTTGCTTCCCTCCCAGTTAGTGCCCACATTTTCTTTACATAGCAATACATCTGCCTAGGAATGTGGATGGAGCCTGGGTGGAGTTATTTTTCAAAACTGAACCCGAGATGTACGTGAGCACTAAGACTGTTGATGTTGGCAGCTGAATACTTGTATGTTTGCAACGCGCAGCTGGAGATCTCTGCTGGTCCATTTCCAGCTATGAGAAGGTGTTTGATCGTGGTCTCAAAGAATAACCATACAGATAAATTATAAACTGAAAAGAAAAACTCTTCCTTGGGACTGAGTGTTTTCATCCCATCATTGTTACACGCTAGAAGTCTAAGGCGTGAAAAATGTTTGCACCCCCCCTTTTTTTTTTTAAGGCAAAGATCCAACAAGCTCCTGAGGCCCTGCACATAAGTAATAAGCTAGCTATAGCAGAGGGTAGTATCCTCCTCCACTGCCTTATGTAGCAGTATTGGAGAAGCATTTGTGTCAGTACTTCCCACCCTACCCCAGATGGATCTCACTAGCTCTCACTATGCTGGCTAGCTGGGTCTGATAAGAGTCCAACAGTAACTGGAAGTCCACAAGCTGGTCACCCTTGATATGTGTGTTTGCAGTGGAGAACAATTGCTGCTCTTCAAACCCACACTGAGACCATGCATGTGCACAGCACAGCACAGCACAGCTGTGTGGAAGCTACAGAGAACTGGCTCTAGTCAGTGAGGGACAGGCTGTGATCTCCTGTGTATGCCACCTTGAATTCCATGAGAAAAAATGGCATTTAAAACTGGTGTTATTTAATTAATTAATTAACCAGCGGGATTTATATGCCGCTTAATCATCAATTAATTTGTAATTAATATTTTTCATCCATGGGGCAAAGGCAGATAGTGCTGGTTGCATATCACACTAGAAGTAACTCACCTGTCCCCTACGGGGGATTGAACATGCAGCCTTGGCATCATCAACACCATGCTCTATCCAACTGAACTATCCAGAGGGGACACATTTCCCAAAAGTGTGGATGAAAGAAGAAGACACTGATTTACATCGCATTTGCATTTGTTGATCTATATGGCCATCTGCTATAAACAGCAATGCATCATGGAAAAAGACTGACCAGGTGATCTGAACAGCTGTCCTGCCTGATGTCTCCCTCTATCATTCTGTAAAATAAATCTCCCAGTGTTAAATAATGTGTCCGTGAAAAGTAGTTGAGAAAGAGGGATTGTGCTTCTCTATCCTTTTCTCTACACTCATTATCCTAAAGATCTTACACAGCCCAGTTCTGTACATGTGGTTCATGAGGATCTTTCTATAGCAGTGGGTTAGATTTCAGGCCATTTCTATCAGTCCTTTATGGGACTAACTTAGGTCTGTTAATTTCAGCACGTCTACTCTGTGTAGAACTTAGCTGGACACAACCCTATGATTCAAGGTGGACCCAGTTCAAGTGTCAACAAAAATGACACTAGTAAATCATGAGAAAAGGGGATCAAGTGCCTTTTCCCCTCAAAATTTGTTGTTGCCTTTAAGAAAGAGGAAACACCAAGAGCCACTGATACTGAGCCACATGGGACTGCGCTGGTCACTCCCAGCTATCAAAGACACAGAGCTTCCTCCACATGCTGAATGAGTTTACAGTGTTCACAAAACATACAATCAAAGCCTTCCCCCATTCATGTTGTTCCCTGAAATGAACTATGCACAGAGCTACAATGGCTAACCTTTGCCTCACAAATGTGGAGAGGCTGAGTGTGTTTCGTCACGTGTGTTCAGATCATTGTTTAGATCAGAACCGTTTTCTTTTCACGGCGGATTGTTCAGAGCCCCAGCCAGGCTTTGTTGCTCTGTAGATATATAAGCAAGTACTTTAACTTTGACACTGTAAATTATCTCCAGACAGAACTTGGAGGGCGGGTTCCAGTGAAAAGCCAGGGCTGCATCCTGGGGACATACATAATAACATAAGGAGAGCCTGTTGTGGATCAGGCCAGTTCTTGGGGGCACCAGAGTGGGGGGCATGTGGCCAGCCAAACAACTATTTTTCTGCTGCCACCACTGGGCCAGTGACCATCTAGTCCGAATTCCTGTTCCCACAGTGGCCAGCAAGATACCTATGAGAAGTCTGCACAACATGAGCACAACAGCACTGTCCAATCCTGAGGTTTCTAGCCAGTGCTATTCAGAAACATACTGCCTCCAACATTAGAGGATTAACATCTACTTCAGTGTTAGTCGCTACTGATAGCTGTATCCTCCAAGAACTTGTCTAATTCTCTTTTAAAGCCAACCATGTTGGTAGCCATCACTGCCTCTTCATACCCTCCAACACGATGTGGCCCAAATTCGGGACACCATCTTCCAGATCTGAAATTCTGAGTGGATCATGCTGAGATCGTGGACCTGGGAAAAGTGCTTTGGGGGGGGCATAGCAAAAATGTGTGTTTGGGGGCACAGCGTAAGATTGCAGACTCGGGGCAAGATCTCAGTCTGAAATCACACGAGAGCAAGGCATCCAAAATGACTGCCATGTGCTCACAGGAAAAAAACAGGATTTCCGGTTTTTTTTCTGGGGCAGTTGATAGGTATTCCTGTTTTTGCAGGTGAGGCCTGGTGAACAGGCACTTCTCATGCCCATCAAGCTATTTGGCCCCATGCAAGTCAATGGACAGATACAGCCCTCTGGCATCTCTATTTGGTGCACCTTCTGCCTTTGCAGGTTTCAGTAGACAACCAGAGCTGCCAGAGCCCCACACTAGCTACTTGGCTTTGGATCAGTGGGGCCTCATAGTCACCAGCTTCTTAGTCAGTGTTGAAGAATGGCTTTCTCCTAGGACAGAGATAGTGAATGTAGTGCCCTCCAAACATTGTGGACTACAACTCACATCATCCCTGACTGTTGGCTATGCTGACTAGAGCTAATAGGACTAGTATTTCAGAACATCTGAGGGGCACAATGTTAGCTACCCCTGCCATAGGTTAAGACCTGGAAACAGATGATGAAGCTTATGTCCCCTAATCAGGCCTCCACTTCCTGTTTCTTCTGAGGAAACAGTGAGTACTTTCTGAGGAAAGTGAGTACCTCTTTAATGAGGGACTCATTATACCCCCCTCACACCAAGTGTTCCTTGGGATGTTTGGCCAGAGCATTAACTACAAGTAAATCTACTCACAGGGGGAAAGAGCTGAGTATGCTATGGGAAGTAGCTTGCAGCCAGTGGTTCCAGCTTGGCATTTCACAAAAGGGCTGCCAACTTATTTGGCCGGCCTCTGCTCCTGTGTGTTCCTGTGTTCACTAATATAGTGCATTATGTACATTACTTTCTTTAATATCTTCATTTTTGTGAACACTTTCCTCTCATATAAGCATTTTTGTAACCACCGTTTGGCTGAAGAACTGCATCGCATTATTCGGATGTGTGAATTTTTATGGTTGGCTGTGTTTCGATTCACATATTGTTTGGGAAAGTATGAATTTGATAGATTCCACTTTTAATGTGTGCTGAATGGAATTTCTCCGACACCCGTAAAGACAATTAATGCATAAATAATCCCTGCTCTTGTAAGGAGCAACACAAACATTTAGCAGAGCAAGGAGAGCCAAACTTGAGTTTCCCCTTCTTTCATTCAGGATAAGGTACACAGGGAGATAACCACAAAGCTTGTGTTATTCTCACTCGCCCTTTCTCTTCCAAAGCTATATCGTTGGCATTTGACATTTCCTAAACAGGAATAGAATTGTACAATCCATCATCTTTAGCTTATGAAGTTGAAGTGCACCATCGTTTTGAGAGGTTCCTTCTTTTCCTCAGGCCTCACACTGGTTCCCCCATTGTGAGGTTTAAGCACCCTTACAGCTGTCATGTGGCTGGGCCTATATAATTCTGTTCTTTTCAATTGCACACTGTCATGCAAGCTCTTTGCAAATTTATTTACTGATTTTGGGTGCTAGGTGTGTCAACCTGCTCCTTGGCTTAATTCCAGGTACCTATACCAGTCTTCCCCTCAAAGCAGGGTGCCTATTTGCAACTGCATTTACTTGGGAACCTTGGAGAAGGGTTGTAGTTTGGTATTAGAGCTTATGCCTTGTTTGCAGAAGATGCCAGGTTCAATCCCTGCCCCCTCCAGGTAGAGTTGGGAGAGACTCTGCCAGTCAGTGTAAATAGTATTGAGGTAGATGGACTGAATTTAAGGCAGATTCCTATGTTCATAATGTTCTTTGTTGACGAGGTTCTGACTTTTTGTGTGACAAAAACAGGGCCCTCATTGCAACCAAGTAACTATAACAGTTATGGTGTAGGCAGTTGATTTGCTGATTGTCCACCTATGCCCATCCTATATATTTGTAAATAAATTCATATATTTAAAAAAAATACCCGCCAAAAGAACACATAACCAGGTAAGTGCTGCTCCTGGAACATCTCCCAATTGGGAAAGTAGGGAGCAGCATGTGACAATATAACCATGAGAAACGTGGACCAGTTGTTTTATCAGGACAGAGACAATAGAAATTGCTGGGAGGGCTTGATGCAAACTACAGCAGCACCTTTGATATATATTTATTTGTTTGTTTTAAATTAACAAAATATATTTGACATGTAACATTTCATATGAGCTACTGGCTATCAAGAAATATACTGGAATTTGGGTTGGATCCCACTTGTCAGGTGTTGTTTAAAACACACACACACAAATCAATGCACAGATACAAGAATACATGCTGTTAATGCTGTTATTTCCTATTCAGCTAAGCAGACGCAACGTGTTATTGTACACCTGGCAAGACTTTATTAAATACTCTCCTTGGCATAATAAATACTATATTTTAAATTGCACTTTTCAGATTTGCACCGTCTACAGCAGGGATGATAGACCGGTGGCCCTCCAGATGTTTGGAACTCCCACCTTATCTGAACTCATCTGACCATCGGACATGAAGGCTGGGGCTGAGGGGACCTGGATGCAGGTTCCCTACCCATGATCAGCAGCCAAATGCAGCAACACTATGGAAACAGGAAGATGCAAAGAAACTGGAACCAGCACAAAGGTCTCGAGAAGAGAAGAGAAGAGAAGAGAAGAGAAGAGAAGAGAAGAGAAGAGGCTGCAACAGACGGAGACAAATAACTTAGAAATAACATGTTGAGGAGAGCAGGGGAGTAAGGGACAAAATTATAACCAGAGTAAATTCATAATAAAATTAATTGGGACCTGCCTGATCTTTTATCCCATAATGGGATATCCTAAAAAATGTTGATATACTTCAAATAATTAGAAATCTGCCTTTGTATTGCATAGCGGTTTACAGTGGACCCAGGTGATCTTTATTTTTTACCAGTCTCCAAGTGCATCTGAACTCTCCTGAGTCAGCTGTTCTAAGGCCAAACCCATTTGTTAATTGATCATCATGTTACTGATATCCTTTGTTGTCCTAGCCACATCCTTTCATCATGAGCTATGATCAATATTTCCTTTGAGTTTTCCACTTGTCTGCTCTATTCTGCTGTACCTTGCAGAATCCTACTTAGCTTCCCAGAATCTCTATCTTATGTACCGCCTGCTCTTAGGTAAAGCATTCTGAATTTGCTGAGCACTTCAGATGTTTCTCTAAGGCCATATCTACACTACTGACTTCTGTTGGTTTCACACCACCATGGCTTCCCATGAAGAATGCTAAACGGTACGGTAGATCTGTAGCAGTGTTGCTGTGAGGGAATGCAAAGCCACTCACAGGTCTGCAAGCTGAAATGCCCATTGACCATAAAAACTTAAGAAGAATCTAGTCCAGCATCCTGTTTTCACAGTGGCCAACCAGATGCCCAAGGGAATTCCTCAAGCAGAACTTGAGTCCTGTAAGGTACACCTGACAGTTAAAACACCATAAAGTTAGAGCAAAAATATGGAATAGCCAATATCTTTAAGTAAATAAAACAACAACCACAAAAGGTTACAGCACATCCAGGAGAACATTCAAATCATGATGCCTCATATGCAATCTATTCCACTATTCCAGGACTTGTTCATTTCACTCTGCTGCATGCATGGAAAAGGTCAGAATTTTGGGGGAAATTATTGGAAAGAAGCTTATAGACTAGATTGCTATATATGACATCATTTTATCTATGACATTATTGTATAAAAATAGGGACAAGTGAATGACGGATGAAAATTGCCTAAAATTATTTATGCTTATTCTCTTTTTCATCATTTGCCAGTCTTGTTAGATTACAGCTCATGGTAATGAAAACTATGAAGGAACTTCTCTTTCCCAGCACTAGGTTTACATGTGTCCTTTTAGATACCCAGAAAAACAGTTTGCTTTTCCATTTTCCTTTCCAGCAGCTCCTTCAAACTCTTGTTTCTGTGTTGAAAATACAAGTAGTCAGAGAGAGACTGAGTGAGTCTATTATTCTCAAAGTGGCTAAAGCCCATATGCCTCCCGTCATTATTTGCAAAGTCTCTTTCTCCTCGGCTCTGGTTCCCGTTGTTCTCTTTCCTCTCCTCACATTTCGAATCCAGGATTTTCTCTTTCTCATCACAATAGGACTCTCTGAAGTCTTTCATCTTGAGTCCTGATTGGCTGGAAAGATCATGCTTGCTGCTGCTGTGGTACATGGCAGGGCTCTGCGGCTCCACCCCATAGCAGTTGTCTTCATCTTCCTCATGACATGAGCTTCCTTTGGCACTTTCCCCATCAGAGTGAAATGAAAGTCCTTTCCCTTGGCTTTTTTGGGAAAGGTCAAAGGGTTCTTCCTGTTCCAGGCTCCTTGAGGCATCTGTTTGTGAGGTTCTTATTCGTTCCCTTCCATGTCCTATAAGAGTTTTTTTTTAATTAAAAAAAAGATGATTGTGTTAGCAAATATATTTGCAGCCCTACACCCATTTTATAATCAAAATAACTCAGAGCTGTGATTCTAGGATGAATATTTCAGCTTGTGTCCCTTTGTTTCTATCTGTTTATCTTGCAAATAATGGAAGGGGGGAGGTAAGGGGGCTTCCTGCTGATCTGCTTGGCATCCCTAGCACAGAGGAAACAGCATCTGTCCCAGCAGTACTCAGTACCAGCTTAAACTGCCATGGAAAAGGCCCAGTTTCATGACATATGAAAGCACAGCAGTGGTGTCATGGTTGCATTGGTTGTGGAACACCTTTAATTTTCTGTTCAACAAGTAATTCCCAAAGGTGTTCTTTAAATTTGCAATGTGAACATCATACCAATGTGAAGAGGGAAAGTGGGATTTAGGGCTCCTCCCCATTAAAAAAAATTAAGTCTTAATATTTTGGATTATTAAGTCTGAAATCCCATGGGTTGGGCTGAAGCAGCCTAGTTGTATGATTTGTGGGGAGGGGAGAATCAGTAATGTGATATTTGTAACCTGTTCTGCCATAGTTCTGCATGTTTAGGGAAGCTTTTAATGTTTAACAGATCATTGTATTTTAATAATTTGTTGGAAGCCGCCCAGGGTGGCTGGGGAGACCCAGCCAGATGGGCGGGGTATATATAAAATATAAAAATAAATTATTATTATTATTATTATTATTATTATTATTACTACTACTACTACTACTACCACTACCACTACTACACTGGCAGGAGTGCTGGATTGGCTCCACTGCTGTGACTACACAGTCTTTGCCTTGTTGCCACTCTACACCATCCAGATAAGCAGCAGCATATTGGGAGGGCAGCTCCATAGCACCATCCTGGCCACTCCTGAGTCCGACTCCTAAAGTTATTGGACAGCCTTAATCAGAACATCCATTTAGACATCCACCTTCATTACACAGGTAGGCAAATCTACAAAGCAGACTGAGCTCTAACATTTGGGAGTCAATTTAGACCATTCAGTTTTATTGGTCAAATCCAGCTACCTCAGCCAAGCATTGCGGTGTGGTGTCAATAATACTAGCAGCTTGATTTTATAGCTGCAGCAATTCACGGAGCATAAATACAGTAGCATCCTTTGCATGGCGAGTGGGTGAAAATCCATGTTGCTTTCCTTCACATAAAATGCAAGATATATTTTTAAAAGTTTACAACGCAATATTGGCATCAAGCCTGCTGTGGTCCTGAACCGAAGAGATGACAATGCAGAGCCTGACTTGCAATAATTTACTACAATAGCAGACAACCCTTTAAGTGTCATCTCAACACCTGAAAAACCAGAGCAGGTTATGTGATGAACTCTGACCCTTAATTGCTTCCGGGTCATGCAGTCTTCTTTTATCTGTGCAGCAACAGGACACAACTGGGTCTGTCTTTCTTCCTTAGACTTGGCTAGCCATTCTCTTATTTAGCAAGGTCTGCTTCAATTAGGTTTACACAGACACACAAACTGCCTTTTAGATGCTACTGTATAAGTAGTTTGGAATTGTTAAAGCTAATGCAAAAATCAGCCTAGTTTGCTAGTCATTTACCTTGAGACCGAAATCCTCTTTCCATCACTCCGTGTTTGACTTTCATGTGTCTGGTGAGGTTCCCCTTCAAGGTGAATTTGCTGGGACAGTAGAGACATTTGAACGGCTTGCTGTCTGAATGCAAGTGCATGTGCCCCATTAAATTATGCATTCGATTAAATTCCTTTCCGCACAGCTGTCAAAAGACCAATGACAATCAAAGTGATTTATTCTGCAGATACACAGGGATCATTTTATTTTCTTGAGATAGAACCCCTTGCTGCTGAGACAGCTTCTTGAGAGTTCCACAGCTTATCATAGACTGTGCTTACAGGGGAAATCCGAATAGTTTCTTCTTCCTAAAAACCACCAGGAGAACAATCCCATCCCTCCCTTAAAGCTGGGTTTATGGATGAATAGGCCCCACATCGGTGTAAGGCTATGTACATTTAAAACACTTTCAAAGCACATTTTCTCCCCTCAGAGAACTCTGGGTGCTGTAGTTTGTTAAGGGTTGCTGGCAGTTGTAAGTGTGAGGGGTAGACTACAGTGTCCACAGTTCTCAGAGGGAAGGAATGTATTTCAATTGTGTTTTAAATGTATAGTGTGTACACAGCCCAAGTCTAACACAAGGAACTGAGGTGGGGTGGGGTAGCATATAGATTTGATAAATAAATGAATAAATAAATAAAACTTGATTTAACCAGGCACCCAGTTTATGGAAGTAATTCTATAACAGGCCAAAATTCAGCTATAGCTGCTGGATAGCTCCAGCCATTGCTTCTGGATAGCAGGGCTGACCCTAATATGAGGCAGACTGAGTCAGCTGCCTCAGGTGCCAGATGTCGTGGGGTGGGGAGTGGTGGCAAGATTTTAAAGGATCGAGCCCCTATTCATGTTACCACTGTGAAATCAAGATTTGACTGCTGACCCAGTCATCTTCGGAATATGGAATGGGGCGCCATCTTGTCCTCTGCGTCAGGCAGCAAAGTGCCTTGGGACATCCCTGTAGGGGCTAATGGCCTTCCATGCTCACTCACTGAGGATGAGGCTGAAAGTTGCACAGGAGCTACTGGAAGTGCACCTAAGTACGGTAACTAAGATTTTAAAACCGCATCACAAAAAATGCAAAATACGAATATAACAAGCAAGTGTTTTAAAGCAAATGCTGCTAATCTAGCTATGGCTACTTGAGGGAAGACCTAGGTTTGCTGCAGTGCAGTGTTTTAAATGGCCTCTGGGACTGTAGGGAATTTCGTAGATTCAATCAGATATACAGGCAGGGCTTAATCCTCAGAGCAGAGCTGCCTCTTTCCAGGAGATGGCATATGAAACTGAGATGAATGTGGCCAGAATCAGGACCCCTATTGTCAAGGGAAAGAATGTCTGGAATGCTGCAGGGAAATAAAACAGATGAAGAGGAAGGTTATGTACTTCCTCTTCAGGCATCACAACGCCTCCATTTCTTCATTAATCCTAGATTTGGTCATGCTTCTGTATGTGGTGGTGACCCAGAGCAGCCCCACCCAAAGTCATTCTTTGCTCTCTTGGGCATGCAGTTATTTGCCCTTGTTGTGAAGCAAAACTTTTGAATGTCATGGGAAGGAAGGAAGACGAAAAGACTATTGGCATGTTATTGCTTATACATTTATTACCCACTCTTCACCTTAGGTTCCAACATTATGGCAGAAAATCTCTCTATAGATTGTTGGGCATAGGAAACTGAAATTATTCATATTCATTTTAGTTAAATTGTTGTTGTTTTTTGGAGGAGGAAGCTAGTTTTTGTAAGGACTGGCAACAGCTCCCACCAAGTCTTGCTGGAGAGAAAATGTGTTTGACAACATGCAGATGGCCTCCTCCTCTTCCTTGTTGGCAGGAGGAGTGGGTGGGGTTAAAAATGCACAGGAGCAAAATAAGATTTTGATCAATTCGGATTATGTAGGTGATCCATGTGGTGAATGAGAAAAAAGGGTCACTTCTGCTTAGAGTTACACACATACACACAGAGAGAGTGCACATTGACGCTGTAACATATACATACATGTATATCATATGTCTGTAGTCAGATAACTAAAATTACACGAACCAAAATGTAGCATCGGTTACATGGCCAGAATTCATGTTATGAAACAAACAATGAAAATTTAAAAAACAGTTATGGAATCTTATGCAGGTGAAGCATGCAGAGATGAAAGGGCATAAAAACTAGGAAAGAGAAAGAGCTATGAAGCCTGATGGGCACCCATCATTTGCAAAAACGGGGGGGGGGGGGGATTGACAAAAGTGAGACAAAGCCACTTCTGCCCTTCAGAGGAGGTGGTGTTGCGGGCTTCACGGCCCCACCATGCACGCGGTGGCTAGAACCCGGGCGCGTCACCTCCTGGCCAGCCAATCGGCTGGCTCTGGGGGTGTGGCCTGCCTTATTTAAAGCAGGATGCGGCCAGGGATCTCCCTCTTTGCTCTTGTTAGGACAACACCGCCATTTCATTGCTGTCTTTGATTTTCTTTACTACCACAGTGGATGCACCACTGCGTGTGTAATTCATTGCCAGACACTGGATTGGATGGCTTTAAATTTGTGGAGGACAGGTCTATCACAAATGAGTAATTATCATAGTTGCCACGTTCTAGTTCTTTTTCTTTAGGATTAGACAGTCAAATATGACGTATGTCCACACTGCGTAACTCAAGACACATTTACAGCTACGTTAGCTGTGTCTGCCACCAGTGCTGGTTGGTTATTTACCAGGAACTGAGGTTGTGCAGTACCATGTTGGATACGATTATGTAGTTAGGAGTGGGTAGAAGTAGCTTTTATACCCCAGGGTGAGGAGCCTGCTCTGGTATAGAACTGGGCTCTTCTCAGTTCAGAGATGGAGGTGAAGTATCAGATGGTCCAATGGGTGTAAGGGCATGACTACATTAGTGGGGAGAGTATCTTACATGTGTTTGCTTGGCTGCAATCATTTGTATGTGGATTGTAATATTCTTGGCGTACAAGTGGCTCATCTAAGGCTGGTTGGTTGGCAGACATAATGCATGAGGTAGCGAATGACTGAAGTGGTTGCATGGAATGGACAGCAAGTAAGATGGATGGAGTGGTTGTATGAACAATGTGTATTTTGTTGGTTGAACGTTTACATTATACTGCCTCAGAATGCTTTCTGACTTATATAGAGAAAATTTGTTTCATTCCCCCACCCCCACCCCGGTAAATAATTTGACATGGGTTTTGTTGCACTTCTTATGCATGTGTGTGTGTGTGTGTGTGTGTGTGTTTATCTATTGTAAACCACCTTGAAATCTCCCAAGGAAGTGCATACAATATTACAACCTTAATATAAGATAGCTACAGACTTGCTCAATAGATTTTTGGAATTTTTAGGAAACTGTAACAAAGGACTGCAGCTTTGCAAAATATTGAAGCACCTAACTTAGCACCAGGTTACAGTGATTGAATGTAACTCATTTTCAAGGTGGAAAGCTCAAGTCTTTGGCAGCATTGACAAAAGGAGTGAGTCAATGGCAAAGGATTTTATAATATTATCATGTGATTCAGAGCTGCTTCAGTGGCAGCCTTGTATTAGCAAAACTGCAAGTAGGGATGAGCAAATTGGTCAATTTCAATTTCTTTCAGTTTCTCATTTTTCCAATCTTAATTTCCACATCAGTTTGTGCAACTTTTATATTAAAATACCTCCTCCTGAAAATTCATAAGCATATTAGCACAAATTTCTCCTAAGATTAACATTTTCTACATAAATTTGCCAAACATGCACATTTTCAAAAGCAATTTTCCCTAATAAAATACACTATATGTTATTTTTTGGCATTATTTGTATTCAACATGTGCAAATGAGCACACATTGCTGGGCCGGAAAACTGCACAGCAAAATCTGGGGAAGTGCAAATTTCAAAAAGTGACTGGGTTTCAGTTCACACCTTGTTTTGTAAGGTGTGAATTGGGAAAGTTTGCCTTTTTAAGCATGAACTGGATCCAATTTCTTCCCCATCCTTTAGTAAAGGTAAAGGTAAAGGTAAAGGGACTCCTGACAGTCAAGTCCAGTCGCAAATGACTCTGGGGTTGCGGAGCTCATCTCGCTTTACAAGCCGAGGGAGCCGGCGTTTGTCTGCACACAGTTTTTCCAGGTCATGTGGCCAGCATGACTAAGCCACTTCTGGCGAACCAGAGCAGCACATGGAAACACTGTTTACCTTCCTGCCGGAGTGGTACCTATTTATCTACTTGCACTTTGACGTGCTTTCGAACTGCTAGGTTGGCAGGAGCAGGGACCGAGCAACGGGAACTCACCCTGTCGCGGGGATTCGAACTGCCGACCTTTTGATCGGCAAGCCCAAGGCTCGGTGGTTTAGACCACAGCACCACCTTTACTCGGAAGCAAAAGTTGTAAGGAGGTTTTTTTAAAAAATAAAGAAATGAGCCATCTAGATTGACTTGCCCCAAAAGACAGTGGACAGGAGTGCTTCTGAGGGAGAAACAGCTCTGTGGCTGAGGATACATGAGTGGCAAAGACTTTCTTCTCCCCTCAAGCCACGTATGGGTTCTGTGTGGCCATGATTAGCTCTGTAGGAAAGACGGGTGTTTTCTTTTTCCCTGAGAAACAAGGCCAAGAAAATGCAGCCTGCCATGAGGCAGAAAGGCCACTGCTGTGTTGCCCTTCCTTTGTAGCCTTTTTTCTTTCTTTCCTTCTTTTTTTTTTAAAGAAGGTTTAATAAGAAGGGTGTTCCTTTCCTGAAAGTAAGAGAGAGAGAGAGCAGGAGAAAGACTGTAAACTGTCCAAAAGGGCCGTGAGAAAACAGGAAGCTCTGAAAAGTACAAGAGAAAGCAAGATGAAATCTATTTGCAGGCCATTCCCTGGGGACATGCAGGCCATTGTTAAGCAAGCAGTTCGTACAGCTATATCCTTCCTTCTGCTGAGGAGGAGCCTGTTGCCAAAACAGCGGCTATCTGGTCATTGCCTTAACTCACTGAATGCCAGCCAAAGAGGCTTAATGGAGCCCAAACTCCTTAGGAGGTTCTTAAAGTCCAGGAGAGGAAGAGCCTCGAAAAACTGATTCTCCGCTCCCTTGTTTTCCTTCTGATTTATTTGTTTAGCCATTCCTTTATTTTATCACTTTATAAGCTGCCTGTCTGGAACAAGACGCTCAGGATTTATCATGAACCCAGTGCTGGGAATACAAGTGGCGTATTTTTATTCCCCGAGAAATGGGCATGTTTTAGAGAAAAGGTTGCATGATAGAAGTTCATAAAAAAAATGCGCAAAAGGTTTTCTCCTCGCAAAACGCTAGAACTCGTGGACATCCAATGAAGACGAATGCTTGAAGATTCAGGACAGATAAAAGAAAGTATTTCTTCCCAGGGCTCATGGTTAAATTGTGGAACTCATGCATTCAGGAAGCAGAGATGATCTCCAATTTGGATGACTTAAGAGAAGGATTAGACAGATTTATGAGGAGAAGGCTATTGATTATTACTAGCCACGATGACTATGTTTTTCCTCCATAGGTAAAGGTAAAGGGACCCCTGACCATTAGGTCCAGTCGTGACCGACTCTGGGGTTGCGGCGCTCATCTCACTTTATTGGCTGAGGGAGCCGGCGTACAGCTTCCTGGTCATGTGGCTAGCATGACTAAGCCGCTTCTGGTGAACCAGAGCAGCGCACGGAAACGCCGTTTACCTTCCCGCTGGAGCGGTACCTATTTATCTACTTGCAGTTTGATGTGCTTTCAAACTGCTAGGTGGGCAGGAGCAGGGACCGAGCAATGGGAGCTCACCCCGTCGTGGGGATTCGAACCGCTGACCTTCTGATCGGCAAGTCCTAGGCTCTGTGGTTTAACCCACAGCGCCACCCGCGTCCCTTTTTCCTCCATAGATCAAGGCATTAATGCTTCTGAATACCAGTTCCTGGAAACAACAGGAGGGGAGAGTTCTCTTATCCTTGGGTTCTGCTTACAGGTTTCCCGCAGGAATCTGGTTGTCCATTGAGGGAAGAAGGTGCTGGTCTAGATGGGCCTGATCTGACAGGCTCTTCTTATATTCTTATGGTGCAGGGAAGGGGTGTGTGGGGCACTTCAGATGTTGTTGGATTACAACTCTAATCCTTATTCATCACTAGCCATGCTGGGTGGGTCTAGGAATGTACAGATCTATTCAAATTCCAGTTTCTTTCAGTTTCCCAGTCTAAAATTCAGCTTGGCAGTTTTCTGCATAGGGTTGCATTTATTTATTTTAAGTCCTCAAAAAAATTCACCACCATTTAAGTGTGCATTTCCCTTAATATACGCATTTTCCCATGCAATTTTGCCCAGCAAGTTTACATCATATAATGCATTTCTGAATGTTGTTTTCACACAAATATATGTATTTTTACACTCGCTTTCTCTTAATATATACTTTCCCTGCATAGACACTGCTTCACTTCCCAAATGGCTCCAAACTGTGGATCATGCAGAAGTTGTGAGTGCCTCTTCCATCACACAACAGAAAGAATGCATTCCAGCTGATCCCTGGAGCAATATAGTCTATGCATATACAGTGGTCTGGGTGGGGCTCATGGGGGTTATAATCCAAAATATCTAGAAGGCACCTGGTTGGCAAAGGCTGCCATAGCAAATAATATGGGATGAAGCAGCAGTGTACTTAGAGGGAATTGCCAACTAAGGGGGCAGCTGAGCAATGAAGATAAAGTGCAGGATTGCACCAATGTGTTCTTCTCCTGCAGCTCAGAGCAAAGCTTTGGCTAGTCTCATGAAGCAGCAGATATCCAATTCTGGGAGTTTAATTTTTATGACCCTGCAATGCAGATTAAGTGGGAGTTTAACTAATTTCCTTTATCCTGTTTGAAATATGATAACACCCTATCCAATCTTGTTAATATACACCCAGCCTTAAGGTCTGAGCATCATTTGTATTGGGTTCTGATAAAAAAAACAAAAAAACCTTCCGCACGCATGGATTGATTCATGTGTTTAGCCAGTATATCAAATTGTTAAGCATCCTTGACCTCCCTTTGGGATGAAATGTGCTATGCAAATGTCAGATATATTTATCATCAGCAGACGAGCAATTATACTAAGTGCTGTGAAAGTGCAATCTCGAGATGAGGAATAAAACAGAAAGGAAATTAAAAAAAAGGATCAAGCCTAACAGTTGAGCTTCAAAGCTTCCTCATTTCAACGAAGGGCATGAGAAGAAAACAAGAACACAACTAAGCCAGCGTTCCAAAAGTGGCAAAACATTAAAAAGCAGCATGGAGGTATTCTGTTGTTTGGTATACCCCATTCACATGCTCTTTGCCTAAATGTGGCATGATCTGACCATTGGGGAACGCTCCTAGTCCCGCCCCTGGCATCAAACACACTTCCTGACTCTGGCTCTAGATGTCCACATGTTAGCAGACTCTTCTGCACAAAAATTTTAAAAAGAGCTTCCATGCAAACACCAGCAGTATTTGGGACATTATAACCTATCCCATTGTCTGGGAAAAGTGAAAAGTCTTCACCTGCCATCAAAAAGACAGTATGTACACCAAAACACACATTCAGCTGGAAACTGGCTGTCTTTTTGCTTTCTGTCTCTCTTAAACAGCATTCACACCAATGATGTGGAACAAATTCTAAGGTTCTTTTAGCATTTATTGTCTGTGAAAACTCTATTAAGATTTAGGTACGGCCCATTTATGGTGATGAATAATACCACAGGTTGTCTTAACTCTTAAGAGCTGTCAAGAATTAGTCTCTTCTCAAATATGCAAATATCCCTCTTCTTAAGGGACTAAGTGTTCAGTTAGGTTTAATAAAGCAGACTTGGGCATCACGAAAGGGTGGCAAAGCTACTGAATTTATTATTATGCCTTTACACACAGAGAAGCATCCTGGGCTCAGTAATGGAAGGAAGGAAGGACATAGATGTAATGAAACAAAAACAAAACACAATGTAGATTTCATACAGTTATTTGATAAGTTGTTTGGCTTTATGTGTTCCACTTTGCGAGTATATTTTCCTGAAAAGTGTGATAAGATACATAACCAATTCATTAATTAAACCCATATTTTCTGCTGAGGAGCCAAAATGGAGTCTCAGGTTATATTACTACTATTGATTTGGTTATGTATTTTGTGTTTTCATCTTGTGCTTTTGTGTTGTGAACCACCTGAGATCTTCGGATGAAGGGCGGTGTACAAATAAATAAAAACAATACAATCACTTGCCAGTTTTCAAGTGGTTGAATCACTATGGAAGCTACGGGGATTCAGTCAAGAGTTCTACCTACAGACATTATATTATTTCACAATTTTGCTCTTTACTACGCAAGGCGTTCCTATTTTTATTCGCCATGCCTTCTACTCGACTGGCTTCTACTTGGGTGCCATTCCGTTCGACTGGGTTGTCTGTCTTTGAAGGACTCACCTTACATTTGAAGGGCTTGACATCTGAGTGGACAATCATATGGGCTTTGAGCGTCTGTTTCTGTACGAAGCTCTTGAAGCACAAATGGCACTGGTAGGCCCTGATGTTGGTGTGAATTAATACGTGCCTCTTCATATTAGCGAGTAGCGTGAACTCTCGGCCACAGATCCCACACTTGTGCTCCTTCACACCCTTGAAAAACAGAACAGCAAGGAAACTGAAACATATAGCTATTTTAAGACCTGCACAGCAATTCCCGATTTCTCACTTTAGTGGGAATGACCATCTGCCACATCCTTTCCTTGTCTTTTCATTAAATGTGTTGTTGCACTTCAACTCCCATCAGTCCCAGCTAGCACAGCCAATGGTCAGGATGGTAGGAGTTGTAGTTTGCCATCCCTGGTTCAAATGCAGGTACATTTAGCAGCTCACCAATAAGGTACCTATAGCCCACCAGTTGGGAATTGTTAAGTATAATTGTTTAACTGACACTGAAATGGAGAATGCCTATGTGTGTTGCTGAAAGGGTTTAAGTGGAAAATTCCATTGAAGCTAAAGAAAAGCAAGAAGAGCTCTATGAGCTGCTTCACGAGTTGACAAATGCTCTCTAGTAGCTATGATGAGGTGTTTAAATTTAGATCACATGGGAGGCTATTGAATTGCAAATCCGCCATCTTGGAAGGGGGGTAGCTAGAATCTTTGTTCCCAGGCTCCATGGAGTAAGGATGTGTGAATGGCTCTCCAGGAACACACAGCCTCAGGCTGTAATGGAGGCGGGAATGGAGGAGAGACAAAGGTTTGATCTCAATCCTGTTTAAAGCTATTTTTAAGAAGAGACGGAACCTATGCTTGAATAAGCATATATTTTATGGAACTGTTTGGGTGTATCTTTGATGTTTTTATTCTGTTTTGAAGAATGTTCTGCAAGTAAAGTTTTGAATAATATTGAATGGCTCTGGACGATGTTTCGCTCCAAAAAGAACCAGTTGTAGGGCAGTGGAGGGTTTTTTTTGGCTGTTTTATTTTCATGGTACAGAAGATAAATGTTGATAAAACAATTGTTACAACAGTAAACAACAAGTAACTTGTCCTGAGCCATTTTTTAGGCATCCAGTCGCTTCAAGCTGCACAATATTAATATCTGCGACAGGAATCACCGACACTGACTTACCTTATGAGTCAAGGAGTGCTGCTTGAGGTGATGGGGCTGAACAAACTCCATGCCGCATTCGGTGCAGATGTACGGGCGGATGTCCTTGTGCTTCATCATGTGATTCTGCAGCTGGCTTGGGTACTGGAAGGTCTTATCACACTCTGTGCAGCTGTACTGTATAGGGCCTCGATGGGTGGTCAGGTGCCTCTTCAGCTGAGCCAAGGTTGGGAAGTCAAGGCCGCACTCAATGCAAATATTCTCCCGGCCGCTCTCATGCTTGGACTCGTGGGCTTTCAACTCGCTGGGGTAGGCAAAACCTCTCCCGCAGATCCTGCAGCTGTAAGGCTTGACGTCGCTGTGCTGCATCATGTGTCTCTTCAGGTGGCTGGTTTGGGTGAAGGCCTTGTGGCACACTTGGCATTTGTGAGGCCGGGTGCCCTGGTGGGTGAGCATGTGGGTGTGCAAGTGGCTTAGCTGCTTGAAAAGCTTGCCGCAGCGAGAGCAAGCGTGCGGCTTGATGCCGCTATGCCCCAGAATGTGGGTGACCAGGTTGTATTTGGACGTGTAGGACTTGTCGCACATGGGACACTGCCAGCGCTTTTGTTCCCCTCCCACATCGACGTAATAGCTGTCATCGATCTGAATGTTGACATCCACCCTCTCCACCTTTTGTTTACTTTCAGCTTGTTCCCCTAACTCCGTCCTCCTGGAGAAGGGAGGCTCCGGAGGCCTTTTCAGTGGGAAAGGGCTCCTGAAATGAAAATCTGGGGGCATAAGAAATGGAAACATCATAGAAGGGTGAACTTTAGGGTAGTACGGATAGGGCACCTGCAGAAATGGGGCAGGTCCAGGCCAGAGCACATTAGGCTTGATGGGTTCTTCCTTGATAGGCTGTGCTCCAAAGTGTTCCAGAGTTCTGTAGAACTGAAAGCCAATGTTGCACAGGTCAATCATGTGGGCATTGTAGTTTGGCTGTGTGTGGTGGTGCTGGAATATTAAAGGGAGGTCAGGAGAACCTGCAGTGGGGATGTCTTCAGACCTGTGCGACGGGGAGGTGGGCTCTCCTGGTGAGATGGCAGAGGGCATTTTCGTGGGCATGCTTTTACGCTTGCGAGATCCCCCTTCTAAGGAGCCCTGGAAGTTCTGCAGTTCTGCAGGGGAAGGGCCATATCCAAACTGGGCAAGCTGTGCTCTGAATTCTTCATTGAGGGGTGAAGCTACGTCTGACTTCACAACAGGGTCCAAGCAGTGGGGAAAGGGAAGGGTTTGTATGCCATCCATATTGCAGGGAGCTTCCTCTTTCTTCATCACATTTAATTCCTCTTGCATACTCTAGCTTCCTTTAAATAAAAAGTAAACGTTTTAAAATTCACTCTTGTTCTCGTTCATTACATCATATTTAACTTTAATGATTGGTGCCTTTTGGTGTTCAAGTAGAAGCCCCAGAGTTCCAATTTGAATGGTGGGAGTTCGCTCTAGAGTGCCCTGAACATGCAGAAATGTATTTCTTTCAAGCATTGAGCAGCACCCATATCCAGTCCAGTACACATCTGCACTAAGGGGGGGGAGAGTTTTTCTGACTTTTTTCTTCCTGTTCTGCCCATGAGCCAAGAAGATGACAGTCCAGCCAGACCTTAAAATTCTAACTGGCTGGACTCCCAGGAAAATAGGCAGTTTGGTTGGCCATGCTAGCAGAAGGAGGAATAAAGCACCCTGGAAGACTTCTACACTCATTGTTAGTTTGCAACTCTGTGGTAGAGCTCACACTTCGTATGCAGAAGGTCCTGGGTTCAATCCCTAGCATTGTCAGGTAGGGCTAGGAAAGAGCCCTCTCTAGGACTCTGGAGAGCTGCTGACACTCATTAAATACAATACTCAGCCTGATGGACTCGGCATAAGGCAGCTTTCTATGTGTCTGTGACCTGATTCTGCCTGGTCCCAGGAGGCAGTCTTGCTGGTGCTGAATCAACACCCGCAGTGCCCTGATTTGAAGCCATCTGATATGTCCTTCAATGTCTGGGTTCTGCTGTTCTTTGTCCAGCAATTTAAATCAAGCCTGGAGTGTGCATTAGCTCTTTGCCCTAATGTACAATGTCCATTGAAGAAATGTGCATTTAGCATAAGAATCAATACTGCAGGATTTGTACTTACATTAATTCATCTCCTTTGTGCCAAATCTGCTTTAAATGCATCTGCACAGGCTCCAGGAGGCATTTGTGTCTAAGGAATAGATAGAGAACAATCATTCTTTAAACTGTGTTATAGTTGTGACAGTCGTTTTATGCTCGACGTTCTGTTACTGTTTTATGGTGCAAAGACGGAAGCAATAATAAAATTGTCTCAGGACACGGTGTGCTCTCTTGTTTCTCCCCCCACCCCCACCCCCAATACTTGTAAAAAGGTTTTGAAGAAAGACATAAGGCACAATGCTACAGTGGCTGTATGTTTTTTGTTGGACTGTGAAATGCAAATGAGTGCTACACGTTCCCTTCTCAGATGTTCCACCCTATATATCAGGGTGGGGGTGGGGGGGTGCTAGCCTTTTTCTTCCTCAGGTCCACATGCAAGGTTGTGGCCAACCCTCCAGGGGCCACATCCCAGCAGTGGTGGTGGCAGCCAAAATTGCCATGTATGCACTGCACTCATCACAGGCCAGGCATGCAAACTCACAACAACACTCTGGTAAGGGCAGAAAGGTGAAGCTCTCCCTCCCCAAACTCTGTCATCACAAAGCTTCTCAGCTTTACCTACACCTGCTGTTTACATTTTTCAAAGCGCATGTTATCTGCATTCACACAATTAATGCCGTGTTTAGTTTGGCTCAGAGATCTTTGATAGAGACCTTGCTTCACAGACCCTGGAGAGCAAGGCTTTCTTAGTCATGGGCACCAAATTATTTTGATCATTCTGTGGTTTCACGATTATTATATACTGTATGTGTTTTGGACTACAACTCCCATAATCCCCGAAGACTGGTTCTAGCGGTATAGAGTGGGAATGTTGTCTTTCGACTTCATTGATACCATTTATAACATGAGCTTTTATCATGCCTTCCACCCCCTTCTTGGCCTCCATCCTCTTTTTTCCAAACTAAAGTCTCTGATGCTTTAGTCTTAAGGAAGCTGTTCTAGCTGCTCAGTTATTTGGCTTGCAGTTTTGCTGGCCCACTTTTTTTCTTTATGGTATTAATCCTGACTATTTTGGCTACCCTTTAGTTCTCTGGGAATGAGGCTGATTCCCTTTTTGATTGGCTTATCAACCACTTCTGTTTACTGTATTTTTCTCACTTGGGCAAGAAATTCACTTTTAAAAGCAAAAATTATTCCCCTTCATGACTCTTTTCACACTGTTACTTAACCACACCAGCACCCTCTTAAACATATTCATACTTTTCTGATCTATGACATATGTTTTGTCTGAGTCATGATTATAATGGTTTTAAACAACCTCCAAGATTCCTGAAATAATTTGACACTCCTCTAACGCTTTCCAACCTCTTTTTGAGAAATCCCCTCACTGTTAGAAATTTCCTCTTCTTGGTAAAATAGGGCTGCCATATGTCCAGATTTTCCTGGACATTACCAGGATTTCAAAGGTGGATTTGACGTCCAAAGGCTCAATAAATTTGTGGTTTGTCTAAAAGAAGCTCAACAACTTTCTGGTTTTCCTAAAAACAGCTCAACAATTTTAGTGGTTTCCTTTAAAAAGCTCCTTTTTACTTTTTGAAATATGGTAAAAAAATAAAAGATAGTGTTGAATTTTCTAGACAATTTCCCACTCATTCATATATATTGAAATTGAAAGTGTTGTGGTCACTTTCCCAAAGCGGTTTGCTAACACTGACACCTTTAACCAAATTCTGGACACGGCTAAATATTAAAACAAGTATAGCATCCTCCCAAGTGTCAGTGACATTCAGGCCTAAAGTGGTTATTCAGAAGTAGATCTCTTATATTCAATGCAGTTTACTACTAAAAAGTACTAGAGTTTTCCCCTTTGTATCTTTGTCTTCATCTGGCTATACATTTATCTAATTAACATTAGGATGACTGAAGTCATTCATTTTCAGTTTTCAGTCCCCCCACATTCCTTTTTTTCCATCTCTGCATCAGCTTTTTTTGGTCTGCTATTTCTACACACAAAAAGTTATGTGATGTGCAGCACAATCCTAAGGCCTCTTACTATACTAGTATAAGCCCTAATCAGCACATTTTAAAAATCTGTTTCTCTAACAAGATATATATACCACTTAATAATAATAATAATAATCTCTAAGCAATTTACATAAAATGGTATTTTTTTTAAAGAATAGCAATATAAACATACTTTAAACAATAAAATTATCAAACTATAGATAAAAATCAACATATTTGAAAAAGAAATTGGACACAATAAAACTGCATGTCTGTGTAAAAAGGTAAAGGGACCCCTGACCATTAGGTCCAGTCGTGACCAACTCTGGGGTTGCAGTGCTCATCTCACTTTATTGGCCGAGGGAGCTGGCTTACAGCTTCCGGGTCATGTGGCCAGCATGACTAAGCCGCTTCTGGCGAACCAGAGCAGCGCACGGAAATGCCGTTTACCTTCCCGCCGGAGCGGTACCTATTTATCTACTTGCACTTTGCATGTCTATGTAGCCTTGCCTAAACAAAATAGTTTTTAACAGTATTGAAAAGTAGGCAACAATGGTGCCTATCTAATACCAATAGTTCAGTGGAAATTATGTTGGAGCAAATGTGCTTAGAACTACATTGTTAATTTTTGGCATACTGAGCAGCAGCACTGCCAGCGCAACCTCCTTTCTGTAAGTTTATATCTAGGAACGACTGTATCCCATTGATTCTCACAATCTGACCAAGTTTCTGAAATGCTCACTATATCTACGTTAACAATTTCTAAGGGAGGTACGGTAGTTGTATTAGTCTCCATGACACACGTGGATGCCAGCTTTGTCTCCATTTCTACTTGAGGAGCAATATTGCAGGACCGAAAAAAGCCATTCACATCAGGGGGTTCTTTCACCTGCTTAATTGCCAATGTCATCATTTGCCAACAATGCCCTTCTATATTTTACACAGGACAAACCTGTCAGCTCAAAATGAGCACCTATATGACATCAGCGGCATGCCAAATACATTGTTTCTATAAAAAGCATCTGAAGTCTTATTTTTATTCATTCCTATTGCTTTAGTCTTTCAAAGCCACCATGCTATGTCAAGGTTCTAACTCCCCAGAGCTGCAGAATGGCTAGAACCCGGCTGCCCTATAGAGACCGGAATGTCACTGTGAGGTTATATTTGGCAACATGCCAATATCATAAGGTCACTGAGCAGAATCCTGGGAACCACAGAGAAATATACTCTTTCAGATTAAAATAAACTTGGAAGTGGAGACCAAGCAAAACGTAAAATGAACAAATTTCACTTGCGGAAATTAGACTTCCACCTGATTAAATCAGCGTCTCTGTAAGGACCTTGGTATAGACTTCTGATCCTACATGAAAACCTCTAGGTGCTAATTAGGGACAGATTAATAGGTCAGTTTGGGTTTCTCTCTGGTTGTTTTTCCACATTTAGGTTCAGCTCTCCACATTTCCACATAAATTTGCAGCATTTTAGTGCACTTTTCTCCCAAGGCTCACATCTTTGTATGCAATTTTACCCAAAACAGACATTTTGGCAGGCTATTTTTTTGCAGTCTTCCCCTGCTGCCCCCTCCCCAAAGATGCATTTTTGTACAGAGGTAGCCAGCAACGAGGGCAGCAGCGCTTTCCTGACCTCCCACTACCGGCGTTGCTGTGTCTTACTCCGAGGGAGAAGGGCAAGGTAGGGAGGTTACCAGAGATGCTTTGGTGGGAGCACCAGGCTGGTTCCACAGATTCATTCACACCATGAAAACTTCCCTATTGCTTCATCCCTTTCCCTCTCCTTGGTGGCATAGTCTCAATTACATCAGTGCCCGGGGTTGGGGGGCAGCTGAGCACCACCTCTCTACCAGCTACTCCTCTTTTTATGACCCTCTGTCGGAGGGCCTGCACCACAAAATTCAGAGGAGTACAAGCTTTGAAGGATAGCGGCAGTACTTTGGTTCGGGTGTTGTTCCAGGGAGAGCGGACAAGGGAAGTTTGCGTCATTTACTTATTAAAATATTGATAAAGTGTGCTTTCATACCAAATATCCCAAGGCGGTATGCAGATGAAAAGCACAGCATTGCAACAAAGATAATAAAAACATAAAATTCATCTGTAGGAACTGCTTGTCAAAGAATCACGGGGTTGGGGGGTTGGGAGGGGGAACTTATCTGAACAATACAGTTTTAAGAAGATGTCAGACCTCTGATGGCAAGGACCTCCATTTTGCCAACCCCAGCCTCAGCCCTGGTCAAGGCTTGCAGACCCTGTATTGCAATGTGAACTGAATTTCTCCCCATTTCTAGCCCCAGTGCATCCAGGTTGTGCACATAACCCCTTGGTAGTAGATCAATAATAATAATAAATTTTATTTATACCCCGCCCTCCCCAGCCAGAGCCAGGCTAATACCAATAAAATCACAGTAAAAACATAATAGGGGGAAAGGGGGGGAAACCAATTTAAAATTCAAGTTAAAATGCAATTTAAAATGCAGCCTTATTTTAAAGTAGCTGATAAATCAAAACCATAAGGGGAGGGAAACATAAGAGTCAGACCAAGTCCAAACCAAAGGCCAGGTGGAACAGCTCTGTCTTGCAGGCCCTGCGGAAAGATGTCAAGTCCTGCAGGGCCCTAGTCTCTTGTGACAGAGTGTTCCACCACGTCAGGGCCAATGCTGAAAAGGCCCTGGCCCTAGTTGAAACCAATCTAACCTCCTTGAGGCTCAGGACCTCCAAAGTGTTGTTATTTGTGGACCTTAAGGTCCTCCGCGGGGCATACCAGAAGAGGCGGTCCCGTAGGTATGTGGATCCTAGGCCGCATAGGGCTTTAAAGGTCAAAACCAGCACCTTAAACCTGACCCTGTACTCCACCGGGAGCCAGTACCTGCAGCGATTGCCACCAGCCTGGGTGGCTTGAAAAGAGCATTGGACCAATTCATAGAGGACAAGGCTATCGGTGGCTTCTAGCCAGGATTTCTCTGTTCCTTGTCCACTGTCAGTGGCATTATGGCTCAGAATACCAGTTGCAATTAACCACGAGAGGAGAGTGTTCTTGCGATAATGTCCTGCTTGCAGGCTTCCCAACAGCAGCTGGCTGGCCACTGTGAGAACAGGATGCTAGACTAGATGGGCCATCGGGCTGATCCAGCAGGTTTGTCTTAGGTTCTTGTTATCTCATCAAATGGCCATCGCCATTTGGAATGGTGTTGTGCATGGATGGGAATTTGCTTTCACTTTGCTGTACGTGAGCAACTTTAAACCAGCACCAACATCTGTTATAGAATTGAACAAAGTTAGAGAGTCGGCTCTACTTTCATGGTACAGATGATTAGATGAAAAAGTAGCTGAACTCTCTGTGTGTGGGAGGTGTGCAGATAACCCAGGATCTTTAAATTATAGGCTCTTATTTCCCACAGAGGGAAGTGCCAAACTTGCGGGAGGAGAAACAATCCTTTCCTACAGAGATATAAAATTACAAGAAAAGACGATTTGCTTCTGATGGCATCCACAGATGAGGCAGCCTTGTACAGAAGGGGGTCATCATTTTGCCCAATCCTATCTCTGGTGACAGCAACTCCCCTGAGTCCTTCTCAGCGCTCCTTACTTTAACTGGAAAGGCCAAAGAATGAACATGGTATTTTCTGCATGCCAAGCATGTGCTCTGGCCTATTCTCAAGATAGCAACACTCCCACAGTGCACTGAAAAAAGATGTCACAGGCAAAGCAAGTCTCTGACAAAGTGAAATGGCTACTGAGGGCTAAACTAGAAAGGAAAGAGAAGTTCTGAGATTTGTTGCAGAAGGGCAAAGTGATGGGGGTCAGCGGTACAGTGCAAAAAGAGAGGGGGTTTGCCTTTAGCCCCACATCAGTTCCTTGGTGTATGTAAATGGCTCCCATGAAACAACCGTTAATTTCAGAGTTTAAAAGACACAGACTCCCATATTAATACAGTGGTACCTCGGGTTAAGTACTTAATTCATTCCGGAGGTCCGTTCTTAACCTGAAACTGTTCTTAACCTGAGGTACCACTTTAGCTAATGGGGCCTCCTACTGCCGCCATGCTGCTGCTGCGCGATTTCTGTTCTCATCCTGAAGCAAAGTTCTTAACCCAAGGTACTATTTCTGGGTTAGCGGAGTCTGTAACCTGAAGTGTATGTAACCCGAGGTACCACGGAACCTGTTTGTTTTCTCTTTCATCGTAAGAGCAGTTTGGGGGATGTGTAATCTGTAGCAGAAAATCAGCATGGGAGGCAAAGGTAAAATCAGTTCAAATCAGGGGCATATAGAATTTTTTTGGGAAGGGGGAAGCCCTCCAAAAAGACAAAGAAGTCTTTGGCAATACCTAATTTGGCCCTAAGTGTCTTTTATATAGCCACAGATCAGCAGTCCAATTAATCTAGGGGTGGTTAATCTGCAGCCTGCCAGACATTGCTGGACTACAAGCCCCATCACCCCAGATCATTGGCGTTTCTGGCTGTGGCTGATGGGAGTTGGAGTCTAACAACTTATTTATTTATTTTATTTTTATCCCGCCTTTTCCCCAGTGCAGGACCCAAGATGGCTCAAGGCATAAATTATAACACATACAACTAAAAGCACACAATAGATATAAACATTTTAAAAAATGAAATAAGTAACCCTTATGGAGGGCTGTAGGTTCTCCACTCCTGAAGTCATCTGCGTATTTGATTGGAACTGATTGGTGTTAACTGTTTGTTTATTGCTATTTACATACTGCTTTTAATTCAAAATCACAACATGGCAGGGGGAGAGCAGTGAAATAAAGGCAAGGGATGTTGTAAATCTGTGTTGCATTGTTATTATTAGTAGTAGTAATATTTAAAGCAAGTTTGCATGACTACTTATCAAGTTCTGCAAATAAATTGAAATGCACTGCTGGGTCATGAACTAGGTAATGAGTGCTTTAGGGTCAGCCAAAATGCATAGTGCTTCAACACTGGAAGCAGAAGTCATTGCCTCCCATACAACAACGGATTAATGATTTGCACTCCCTGTCCTTCCTTGAGCTGGCAAAGTATCAGCGTGACCACAAAGAAGAGAAATGCGAGAACATCTGGCCAGCGTTCCTTGAGACTTTTGTGTTGTGGTTAGCACTCTGGTATATATTTGAATTAACAATTTATACGGTCACATTAGCTCCTGTTCCTCTTTCCTATTTTGACTCTCCACATTTTCACATCAGTGGGTGGTTTTTGTTGTTGTTAAGTCCTTGCGAAAATTAACCAGCATTTTAGCGTGAATTTCTAATATACATTTTTGAGCGCAATTTTGCCTAATATACACATTTCGGTATGCAATTTTGTCTGCGTATACATGGAAAAGCAGTTTCCCTTACTGTGTGTGTTTCCTTAATCATGCCATTTTTCACTATGTGTTTCTGTGCACAATCATGTCTGTTTGTGCATGTTGCTTGGCTGGAAAAGGGCATTGCAAAATTCAGAGAAGTGTGAATTTTGAACTGTAAGAACATTATCAGAAGAGTCCTGCTGGACGAGGCCCTTTTGTCCCAGTGGCCAGCCAGGTATTTGAGGGAAATCTACAAGTGGGGCCCGAGCACAAAGCACGCTCTTCTCTTGTGGTTTCCAGCAACCCATTTTTAAAGCCATCCAAGTTGGGGGCCTTCATTGCCTCCTGTGGGAGCAATAGTTTAACTATACAGTGGTACCTCAGGTTAAGCACTTAATTCATTCCGGAGGTCCATTCTTAATCTGAAACTGTTCTTAACCTGAAGCACCACTTTAGCTAATTGGGGCCTCCTGCTGCTGCTGCACCACCGGAGTCCGATTTCTGTTCTTATCCTGAAGCAAAGTTCTTAACCTGAAGCACTATTTCTGAGTTAGCGGAGTCTGTAACCTGAAGCAAATGTAACCTGAAGCGTATGTAACCCGATGTACCACTGTACACTGCATAAAGAAGTACTTTCTTTTATCTGTACCGAATCTGACCCAACATTCAGCTTCATCGGAAGTTCATGAGGTCTAGTGTTGTGAGAGTTGCATTTTCTGTGTCCATGTTCCCTATGCCACGCACAATTGTATAATCTTACTCGCCTTCCCTCTAAAGTAAAAAGTCCCAAACACTGTGTTTCAGTTTGCATATTGTTTTGGGAAATGAAAATTAGGAAAGTTTGAGTTTAATGCAACCTGAATTGAATTTCTCCTCCACCCCTCTTCTGCCCCATTGCCATTTGAAGTACAGGAGTTCCTGTTGATCTCATTTGTTTCTTAGTCTTTGCCACACAGGTTGAGAATCTCTCCTCTGTTTGTTGCCATTCTGGTCATATGTAAAATGCCACTTGCAGTATAACACATCTGCCATTCACATATTCAGCCTACAGGGAATTAATTCTGAAGCCGTGAGTCAACCCCCTCCTGCCTCTGTTCTCTCTATCCTTCTATTGCTGACATTTCCATGGAGATTTTAAGCCCCCCTGAACCAAGTGCAGAGGCGATGGCAACTTTAGCATATCTTTCCCATGAAGCAAAGGGAAGCACAGCCTAATCAGAATAATTTTATAGCTCATCTCAAATATTTTCACAAAATGCCTTAGGAGTTGTTATCACATTAGGAAAAGCTATCTGAGTGACACAAGATCAAGCACACCAAGTTCTTCCAGAAATAAAGTCTGCATACAGGAACATTACAGAATTCAATTTTTAAATATAGGTGTCAAGGATATCCACACATCACATCTGGGACATCCTTCATAAAAGATGCTGACTGTCTATTTAGGGATGCATATTCTGTCCCAAAGAATTCTAATTCACAAAGCACTTAAGTGGGTGGACTTGGCTTTAAGCCTGCAATTATAGTCAATTGGAGTATTTCACCTTTTAAAATCATGAGTATTCCCGGTTTAAAAGTTTGGAGATTAGACACTTTTCAATTTCAATTTCATAATTTCTTATTTCAGGTATTTGCAGCCCACTTTTCAGTTTAAAACAAAGCTCTCAGTTAATATCAAACTAATAATTTCAACCTTAAAATAACAATTAGTTAGCAATTTAGTTATCAATGGTCTTACAGTCTGATGTTCACATGATGCCCGCAAAACAGGTCAATTATAATAAGAACTGGTCTATTCGGGTCTATAGCAGAGCTGGACTGAAAGGTTTTATATTTCATAAGTTGCTGAGTGTCCAAATGTTGGTGTAAAAATGCAACCATTTGAAGTTTGAAACCAGCATTTGACATTCAAATGTTGTCTTTTGTATTGGTGAAATCAATGATATCAATATAAAATTTGCTAAGGCTGCAAATCCTATGACCCTTGAAAGGGTATCCCAGGGGCCTTTGGGTGTTTCTTTTCTTTTCTTTTTTATAATGTTTTATTCGTTTTACATAATTTTATACATTTTAACTTTAACCATTTCAAAACATTAAAATAATAGGTTATTTCAAACCTTCGGACCTCCCTCTCTCCCTCCATGGGTTATATATATGTATATATTCTGCATCTTTTACCATTATCTATCTGTTATATTTCCATAGTTACCATAGTTCATTTCATATTACAAGTGTCATTGTATCCCTGCCAATGATTTTAACTGTTTACAATGGTCTTTTAAATATGTTAAAAATTTATTCCAATCTTTTAGAAATACTTGATCTTCCTGGTTTCTGATCTTTCCCGTCAGTCTCTCCATCTCTGCATACTCCATCAGTTTAATCTGCCATTTTTATCTGGTCAGCACTTCTCCCTTCTTTCATCCATTGGGTGTTTTAGGTCTCCCTCTCTGAGGATGGTCTGACATCAGAAAGGGATATCCAAGACTACTTCCTACCACCATGGAAACCTCCGCAGCCTTGACCTTACGGATGTCAGAGTTCCAACACTGCTAAAGACAAAGGGGCAGAATGTGTCATGACCCCAGAATCAAGCAGTGACCAGGATACTGAGACAGAGTCTACAGGGTCACCCACTAAGGAGGCAGACCATGTTTCTGGCCCCAAGCCTAAAACTTATGGGACCACTGAACCAGAAACTGGCAGGAAGGAGCCCACTGAGCCACATCCCAAAGCACCAGGGCCTTCAGAATTAGAGCTAGGACCTTCGGGGTGCCTTCGCCTGTGCCTCTCACAGTACCTCACCAGTCCAACAGCACAAAAAGCACACCGGGTTGCAGAACATGGAGCTTAGGAGAACTGCCTACCTTCTGGTCAGAGGGTTGGCTCTTTAAAAAACTCTAGACCTCTAAAAGGGAACAGAGGTGGACTGGAGGCAGACGCTCAAAAGACTTAACTTCACTTGTTGGAACAAGTTTCTCACTAGGAGCTCTCCTTAGTGCTGAAACAACTAACTTGCCTTGCCCTGTGGGCTCCTTTGGGAGACCAGCTCATGACGTTGTGTTGAGGGTGGATCAGGAATGTGTTGGAGTGGATTTAAAGGAGGCATAAATCTACAGGGTCCACAACTTTCTCAGTCACTCAATGCCCCCTCCCAAAAATCTATATGGGAGTACATAATATTGAACACAATATTGAATCATACTGAACACAATCAGTACAATTTTTTTTACGTTGCTCAGAAGTAAGCCCTTCTGTGTTTAGCAAGGCTTACTCTCAGGTAAATGAGTTTAGGATATTCAGACGGTGGGACTTAAATGTGGTGACCTCCAGATGTTGAATGACAACTCTCCTTATGCCCAGCCAACACAGCCAAGGGTTAATGGGAGTTGGAATTCAACAACATCTGAAGGACACCACACAAGTTATGCCATTGTCTAGTTCAGTGTTCTTCAACCTTGAGTCCAAATGTTGTTGTACTACAATTCCCACCATCCCTTCCCATTGGCTACACAATCTGGGGATGGGTGGAGTTCTAGTCCAGCAATGATCTTGGAACACAAGGCTGAAGAACACTGGTGTTGTATTCTGTTGTATTCTTAAAGGGTATTTTTTTAAGGGGGGAAAGAAAATGTGATAAAGAAAGTATTCCCCAAAGGAAAAAATGATTTTCATAAATGCAAAAGTATTCTTGAATTGATAATGCATTGGTATGTAAATAAGTTTACATTCTTTCCAATGGAAAGGGTTTCAAGACCAGTAATAGATATGCATACATCCTTCATCTACATAAACAAATTAAGTCAGTTGTGGGGAGAGGTCAGCAAACCTGAATTGTAATGTTCCTATATCCTTGCTTGGCCTTTGGGCTTGTCCTTCAGTCCTGCCTCCTGGCTTTGTTCTCAACTTGTTCTTTGGGCTTTTGGTTCCCAGTTGGTGACTCATCCCAGTCCGGACAGTGGAACAGCAGCAAAAGAAGCAGTGCTGTGGTGAGCTGCTCACATAGCAGTTTTTATGTATGTTTGTTACATTTCTAACTCCTCTGTTCTACCCAAACGAGCTCAGGGTGGCACCAAAGGAGCATTGCTTTAAAGTTTGCATTTCTTTAACTGTTTTGATTAATGGTGTTGGAACTGGAAGCCAGTAGAAAGCTGCTCAAGTTGCCCATGACCTTGAATGAGTTGGAAATAGCAGCAAAGTACACACACAGAGATGTGCACAAGGAAAGGCTGGCTGACATCTCACTTCTCTATTGGAAATTACCTTCAGGTGCTGATTTGGACTACAGAATGAGGCATTTTCCCAACAAGAGCCACTTCCTATCTTCATTCAGTTCCCATCCACATTACTAAAGTGGAACTGAAGACGTGACAACCCTTTTAAGCGTTGTTAAAGAACACAAATAAGAAAGACTCAGGATGACTTCAGCAAGGCAGCAATCACGTCCATCCAAAACAATCACACAAAGCAGTACAATTTAGGAAGCGTTCACCATGCCAGACCAAGTGTGCATGGGCCAGGGATTTTTGGCTGCTTCTAGCAACAATTTAGTCACACAAAGGTGTTTGTGGTTCATCTCGAAGGGCAAGGTGGAACGTAAAGGATGCTGACACAATATTCTACACAAACGCTATGCTATAGAACAAAAGAACATTACCTTCTCATCTCTGTCCCTCCCTCTCTCCCCCCAACTGAATGCAATCTAGAATGATAGTGTCTCATATAAAATGTAAACCAGCTGTGAAAAAGACTCTATAAATAAAAAATGAAGGTGCTATATGTACTTTTCCCTGTTTGCTTGTTTTATGACACAGGAAAATCTCTAATTAAACTAATTTTTTTTTAAATGGATTCACAATATTGAATGCACAGCTCCTGTTGGATATGAGCATCTGAGCCTAAAGGTAAAGGGACCCCTGACCATTAGGTCCAGTCGTGACCGACTCTGGGGTTGTGGCGCTCATCTCGCTTTATTGGCCGAGGGAGACGGCGTACAGCTTCCGGGTCATGTGGCCAGCATGACAAAGCCGCTTCTGGCGAACCAGAGCAGCGCATGGAAACGCCGTTTACCTTCCCGCCAGAGCAGTACCTATTAATCTACTTGCACTTTGACGTGCTTTTGAACTGCTAGGTTGGCAGGAGCAGGGACCGAGCAACGGGAGCTCACCCCATCACAGGGATTTGAACTGCCGACCTTCTGATTGGCAAGCCCTAGGCTCTGTGGTTTAGACCACAGCGCCACCCGCATCACTAACAGGGACTCCCCGCAAGACCTGAGTGATCAAGCAAGTATATAAAGCACTAGGCGGTCCCTGAACCTTTCAAACACTAAATCCATTTGAAAACTGTTATGAATTAAGCAACAAGTTGAGACAACAGATCTTTAGAAAGCTTTCCAGGCTGACTGTGCAACGTTTCTGTCCCTTTTTGCTATTCAGCATCGTTTTAGGTTTTCTACTTTTATTGCTTGCTCTTCTTTACTGCTTATCATTTTATTGTGGATTTCTTTTTACTTTAATCCCTTGTTTTATATTGTTGGGTCCTTACAGGTGCAGTGTTGGGGTGTAAATGTTTTAAATCAGGAAATGAACGATCTGCCTAGAAACTGTCCATATTCTGCACGGACATCTACATGGGCTGTTTCCCCTCAAACAACAGCTACTCTGATTTTATTTGGCACTAAATCTTCCACTCCAGTTTCAGAAGATTTTTTTTCTTTTTTCAGAATGAAATAGTCACAATCTCTGCAAGAATCTACAAGCTAACGTGAAATATTTAATAAATCATTTAATATAAAAATATTTTTAAAATATTAAACATTTTGAATATTAAATGCAATATAACAATACCAGCAAGAACACATTGTCTCATAAAACACAACACCAGTATAACCTCTAAAGTAACTGGGGCTACACATTTTGGAAAACTCTTAATATACTTAAATATATTTATATCTTCCAGTATCCATACCTAAGCAATGATATGCAATATGTTGTTGTTGTTTTTCTCCCTCTCACTTTTCCTTCTTTTTTACTAGAAGGAACAAATAAGCCCATTAACCAACCAACCAACCAAGTAGTCTTATGAACCTTTAAAATGAATTCACGGGGGAGGGGGCCCTGTTAAATGCCAGCAGATTACTCAGAAGGTAAACCAAAGATCTAGCATGAAACCTGCATTTCTTTGACACTGGTTCTGTGACTCTCAGGGTGTTTCCAGATGGGGCTTTCATACTGTAAATAGGTCACTAGCAACAGAGTATTTCATTTTATTTTATTTTTTAATTATCAGGATTTCCCCAGAAAGGGTATGTCTGAATTTTGAAACTTTTCATAAGGTCAACCTGTTCTTAACTTCCAGCTTTTTATCAATAGTTTTAATGTATATTTTATATTTTATGTAAATCACTTGCATTATTTATGATTAAGTGGTGTACAACTTCTGTTAAATAAAAATTAAATGGGGACTGGCATTTCCCCTGACAATGCCATATGACACTACAAAAACACTTGTACTTATGTGGATCACTGATCCCTCCCCCCCCCCCCCAATAAAAAATACCCTATCTGCAAACACACACACACCAATCCTGTCTGCTTGGCTGCAGTGAGAAACAGACTATATGGACCTTCGATCTGATCCAGCATGGAATCATTTATACCAGAAATGGGGAACCTGTGGCCCTTCAAATGTAGGTCCCATCCCTTGCCACAGCTCCTCCCAATCTTCCTTACCTTACAGGCCATTCAGGCTGGGGCTGATGGGAATTGGAGTCCACCAACCTCTCAAGGGGATTGTTCTAGAATCTAGATAATATTTGGGGTCCTTTCCAACTCTACAATTCTACGATTTGTTTCCCTTTCCTGGTTTATACCATAAACCTTAACTACAAGGCAGAGGTAATTACTTGCTCTACTTCAGCGCAACACCGACCCAATTCTTCACGAGGAAAGGCACTGACATGGAAATTCTTAGCCAGAAAACTATTATGCCATTATGTGGTATGCTTCTAAATATCAGTCACAAACATGAGAGCGCTGTTGTGTTCATGTCCTGCTTGTGGGATTCCCATAAGCATCTGGTTGGCCACAAAATGCTGGACTAGACAGGCCTTTGATCTGGACATTATTATGTTCTTAAGCTGTTTGCTTTGAGCCCCTGTGTTCGCTATGAGGAAAACAAATTCACAGAATTCTCTGCAAGGGGATAGGATGGGCCTCTGCTCCCTTACCACCACTGCCCTGTGCTTGACAGACCACACTAACCATGTCCTTTTGTGGCACTGCCATGCCACATCAGGCCAGCAAACAGCTGCTCCCTTTGGGAAATGGCTTCCACTTTGGGTATGAAGGGCTGTAGCACAGTGGTAGACAATCTACTTTCCATGCAGAAGGTTCTAGAGGTTAAGCCTCTGACAACTCCAGGTAGGGCTGAGAAAGGCCCTCTTCTGAAACTCTGAAGGGCTACTACCAGTGAGTGTAGACATCACTGAAGTTAGGCAGACCAAGGGTTTGATTCATTATATGGAAGCTTTCTATAGTATTCCAATGTTGCACTAGCTATTGACACAAAAGCAGTGATGGGCTTGTGAGTCACAGCATTGGAGCTAAGCCCCCGAGAGATTTTCCCACTTTTTGAAGCATTCAAGGAGGCTTACAATTTCATGACCCAACTGCCTCAAAAAATGGAGACGCAAAAGAGCCCCAAGTCAAATAAAAAGGCATTGATCTAAGACTGCAAAATGGCGGACCTTTAAGGGCTGCTGAACTTCCCATACAATCAGTGCAGAGGGGTGAGTCTCCCTTTAGCAGTATAGCTATTTTGGTAATATCTAATGCTGTTGTTATCTAATATATCAGGTAATGTGTTTTGGACCACAACTCCCATCAGTCCCAGTCAGCACGACTGTGCTAGCTGAATCTGGTGGAAGGCATAGCTGGAAACATCTGGAAAACACTGGGTTAAGGATGGCTGTATTCATCATCATAGTCTGGTTAGCTTTGAACAACATCACATTCTTCCATTAAGAAAAGACTCAGTGCTAGATCTCTGGGGCAAATCCTCACCAAACGTATAGCACCACCCTATGCATGTTTATTTGTAAGTGTCCTGCTGGGTTCAGTGGGATGCGCTCCACAGTGAGTGTATATAGGATTACGGCCGTAATGAAAACACAGCTCTATCCTACAACAGGCCCCTTACCTGGAGTTTGTGTATCATATCAACAATTCATACTCATATTTTAAACACCTTCATTGCATCATCTCCCATAAATTCAGCCTTTTCTATTAAGTCACATTTTTACTGCACCTAAGCTTCTTACCATGTAATTGGTAGCTGAAAAATACCTCTAACAAGATCCTGGTATGGCACAATTAATGACTGAGCCTACAAAATCATGACTTGAAGCCTTTATAATGCAATCCTATACATTATAGGATTGAGTCCTGTTGAGTTGAATAGGGTTTACTGCTAGGCTGATGGAATGCAGCCTTAAAACTCTAATTTCCTTGAGAGAAATATTACCATTGATCAATATATTGCCTTTTTTAAAAGACAAACACAACCGCTTGCAATTGTTTTTGTACATAACAGAGTTCCAAAAATCCCTGCTTACGATTCAGTTCGGCAGGTTCACTGGTATGGTACACTCTCAAGAGTGAAGACACATGAGATGTGAAGAATTAACATGTGAAATGTGAAATAGTGTTCCCATATTATATCCTCTGCTTTATCACAGAAGTAGTAGGGATCAAAAAACCATTCAGTTCTTCACACGCCAGCCACAAGAAAAAAGCAGATGCGCTCCCATCAGATGTCAAAGAAATAAACAACTATCTGACTTTTAGAAGACATCTGAAGGCAGCCCTGTTTAGGGAAGTTTTTAATGTTTGAAGTTTTATTCTGTTTTAATGCTCTGTTGAAAGCAACCCAGAGTGGCTGGGGAAACCCAGCCAGATGGGTGGGGTATAAATAATAAATTATTCTTCTTATTATTATTCTTATTATTCTTATTCTTATTCTTCTTATTATTATATTATATTATATTATAATTATTATATTATAATAATTCCCAGATGTCCCAGATGTTGTGAGCAGGTGAATCAAGGCATACTACAATTCTAGGCAAGGCAACCCTACCCCTGCTCATTCCAGATATATACACAATGCACACATATACACACTTGACTCATGGTTAGGTTTCTACTATAACCAAAATATAACAAGCCAGTTCCTGAGCCTGTGTAACAGCTACCTACTACTAGACTCCCAAAAGGAACTAGGGAATTAAATTCCATGCCTCCAAAACTTTTCTACTTTCCCACTATTTGAGGCACAACAAAGCAAGAACGACAAGAACAACAACTTGTGGTTTCAGAGCAGTGAAACAGTTATATGATTTAGATTTTTCTAGAGCAGATGTTTGCAGTACTAAAGGACACTGGTGCTGCTATGGGGGCAAGCAATCCCTTATAAAGAATGCAGATGTAATTAGTGATAGAGGAGAAATTCAATTAAGTTTCCATTTAAAGCCAAATGTATCAAATTCACACTTAAAAAAAAATGTGAACCAAAGCACAGCTACCCTTCAAAATTTGCACTTATCCTAACATTGTGACGCAGTTCTCCAACCAGCTGGTATTTACATAAATGCACGTATTAGGGGAAAGTGTGCATAAAAATGAAGCTCTTAGTGAAAATAGCATGTAAAAATGCATTATATTAGAAAAATATTGTTAAAAAAGTATGCAATAGTAAAAACTGCATATAAAAATATTTCTATTAGGAGAAATTCACACTAACATGCAGATGAATTTTCATGAGAATTTTTTTTATTTAAAAAAATCACAACTTGCTGCAAATGTAGAGAACTGAATTTAAGACAGGGAAACTGAGAAACTGAGAGAAGAATTGAGATTGACAGATCCTTTCATCTCTGGTCATAATATCCTGTAATCAAGATGCTCATTTTGTTTTATGTGGCTGGGGGATAGGAATAATCCTTTAAAATAAGAGAATCTGGCAATGTTAAAATACACTGAGAAACTTTTAACAATTCCCTTTCTCCTGAAATTATCCATCTTCCTGTCTCTTAGATCTCTGATCGCTTGCTTCAGTAAATGGAAAACTGGAGCGTAGTCCAGCCCAAAGCAGCATTTTCCTGTGATATCTCCTGAATTTATTAAAGTTTCACATTGTTACCTTCAGTACATTGGGAAGTTTAACTTACCAGCTGCTGACACTGCTCTGGTGGCCCAAGTTCTGTACCTGCTTCCTAATTGGCAGCCTCTGTCACTTCTTGAGTAGGGAACTGTGGTTGATTTAGAAAATAAGGAGGGACAGTGTTTCAAATGACTTAAGAAAGAGAACAGGAACAATCACTTCGTTCTGGGGTTGTTGGTTTTTTTTTTCATTTTCTTCTCTCAGATGAGTTCTGTACCTTCAGAAAGAAGGAAGGAAGGGAGGGGAGAGGAAGTCAACAGCCCTTTAGCTTTCCTGCAAAAAAAATAAGGAAACGGCAGATAGCCATCTCATTTTCTCTCAAACAAAATGGTTGGAAAAATAAATATCACTAAACCAAAAGAAATTCCTCAAGTATTATATCTTTATGATGGATTTCGTAGGGTGTAATTTATAACTCGATGGGTGGAATGCGATCAAAACAAACACAATGTTCCAAAACGTAGAGCCTTGCCTTTGGGGAGTAAGATGCCCATATCTAGAAACATTTTAACAGCCCTAGCCAGAAGAATACAGGCAGGGAAAATATACAAGGCAATTCAAAGACGGGGGAAAGATCTCGGTGTACACAAATAAAACTAATAGCCTCAATAGAACGTTTATTAAAGAATAAATGTACATAAAGAAAGGCAATTCAAAGACGGGGGAAAGATCTCGGTGTACACAAATAAAACTAATAGCCTCAATAGAACGTTTATTAAAGAATAAATGTACATAAAGAAAGAAAATGAGTTCAGGCTTTTTGTGTGCTTTTGATGAGGTGAAGTGTAATCATAAGCATGTTTATTCAGAAGAAAGTCATATATATATATATGAGAGAGAAAATTGCTGCTTGCCACAAGCACTATCCCAAAAGATCATTTATTGCAATAGTGATCATTGTGCTCTTGCCAGGAGGGGCAGATCTTTTGCCCCTGTGTTGAGGGGTGGTTACTACAGGAGTTCTTCTGGCACATGAACATGGCTTGAGCAAAGATAGGAATTATTTGTGGCCCCTCTCATAGCATGTGTGGCGGATCATTCCTTTCTGTTTTGAGCCTGAATCAGTTGCTGCCACAGGAGTAGCCAAACTAAGCCTCCTGGTGTATACTTTGCTCTAGGACAGGGGTAGGCAACCTATGGCCCGGGGGCCAGATGCAGCCCAATCGCCTTCTCAATCCAGCCCGCGGACGATCCAGGAATCAGCGTGTTTTTACATGAGTAGAATGTGTCTTTTTATTTAAAATGCACCTCTGGGTTATTTGTGGGGCATAGGAATTCGTACATTTTTTTTCCAAAATATAGTCCGGCTCACCACATGTTCTGAGGGACGGTGGACTGGCTCACGACTGAAAAAAGGTTGCTGCCCCCTGCTCTAGGATGCTTAGTTTGGTCAGAATCGGAGTATATACACTTCCACAGTTAATGCTAAATACATTACTTCTGGTCAGTGCTTTTGGGGGATGTGGGGGTACGCATACCCCTAAACATTTTGTGAATCTTCGTACTTTTGTCCATTTACTGTATTTATTTTTCCCAATTTGAACTATAAAATGGTGGTACAAAGTGAGAGTACCCCTAAACATTTTTTTTAGGGGAAAAAGTGCTGCTTCTGGTAAATGAGCCATCATAGCCACTAGAAGGCCATGAAAATTTGTGTCCTGGGCTTTGTAGACTTGTCTACCCATGTACTCACTGAAACCAAATGGGTGCACTGGTTGCCAGGTGTGACATTTTTTCCAGCTCTTCTACCCAACTATTCCCCTCCTCCGCAGATCTCTGTCTCTCCCCATCCCAACCATTAGTCAGCATTTTGTGGCTACTGAACACGCTCAATCCCATTGAGCTGTTTGGGGGATTCACCCACTAAGGGGGATTCACATACATACCTCTGGAGTTCCCCTAGGCCTGCTGACATCTCTCCTCTGTGGGTGAATGACATAAGCAATGACACTCAAGCTTAAGCATTAAAAATAGCATGAATTGTGCTTCTTCTGGTTTTGTTTTCTAATGGAGGAATCACACAATTGCCAGCCTTCAGCATGGAGTGATACAGCCCAGGATCAGTTTTACGATGTGATAAGGCCTATGCTTCTCCGTTAGAAAACATATCTGAAGGTGGTCAGGAGGACCACTGGTATCTACAAGAAAATGAAACCATTAGAATCTTCCCCCTTCTCCAGTCATTTTCATGGATGAAAATGTGTTGCATTCCCACTGCTCTAAAGAAAGGCTCTTTTATATGCACGTGGCGTAGCAAATGAACACATGCCAAGCTTCAAAGTAGTTATCAGCATCAGGAGTTGAAAAGGGGCATCAGCCAGAATAATTACGTAGGTGAAAACAAGAGCAGAGTCCTTCAGTCTGCAGCATTTCCTCAAAACACACAAAAGAAAAGAAGTTAAAAGAGGATAGTTTTGAAGCATAGTTTGCTTAGACTAGCTTTGTTTAATGGAAGAGCATTTTGTTGAAGCTCACAGTAAGGGTGCGTATATGTAGAACTCGTTCCCATAAACAGATCAGATGGGTTTGGGAAATTCGTTACTATGAATACTGTGGACAAATATAAAGAGCATTTCAGATAGGTCTAATATTAATACATAGTAGGGAAAATTAATGCACACTGATTTATCCTTCTATCACCTGTTCAACTGACAGTGCACCTCCATGTCCCTTGTAAAAACAGGGTAAGGGGAAATATGTATTGGGTTGAGATAACCAGTTTAATAATATTACCATGCCAGAGAAACATCTATGTCTGTGAGAGCTTGCAAAAGCACAGGGCTTTCAGAAAACTAGCATATCAGGGAGGATATCAGTATTCCTACCCTCCCCCATATTTTCTATAGGCAGACAGGGATTGTGGCTGTATCACAATATCACAGGCATCTTCTCAGATCAGCCAAAAGGGGGAGCTTCTCGTGCAAATTTAAAACAGAAGCAGGAAATGTCCCTTTTGTGATTTGTAGGATCATACTGAAGGGGGCATTAAAGCTATGGTTTCCCAGTAGTGATGTATGGAAGTGAGAGCTGAACCATAAAGAAGGCTGATCGCCGAAGAATTGATGCTTTTGAATTATGGTGCTGGAGGAGACTCTTGAGAGTCCCATGGACTGCAAGAAGATCAAACGTATCCATTCTGAAGGAAATCAGCCCTGAGTGCTCACTGGAAGGACAGATCGTGAAGCTGAGGCTCCAATACTTTGGCCACCTCATGAGAAGAGAAAACTCCCTGGAAAAGACCCTGATGTTGGGAAAGATGGAGGGCACAAGGAGAAGGGGACGACAGAGGACGAGATGGTTGGACAGTGTTCTCCAAGCTACCAGCATGAGTTTGACCAAACTACGGGAGGCAGTGGAAGACAGAAGTGCCTGGCGTGCTCTGGTCCATGGGGTCACGAAGAGTCAGACACGACTAAACGACTAAACAACAACAACAACTGAAGGGGGCAATCTGCCCTTGAAGTTGATTTGGAGTTATGACCGTCTGTGGTCTGTGATCTGACTGGCTGGAATCCTCCATGTGGACAGTCTAGGAAACAGCCCTCAGCCAGTTGCCAGTCTCCCCTTCTTGAGTAAAGCCTTACACTGCTCAGGACCACAATACCTCAAGGGCCGTCTCTCTCCATACAAACTGACTGGGACCCTGCAATCGTCATCTGAGGCCCTCCTTCATGTGCCTCCTCCACAAGTGATCTGGAGGGTGGCAACACAAAAACAGAGCTTTTCTGTGGTGGTTCCTCACTTGTGGAATGCTCTCTTCAGTGAGGCTCATCTGACGCCTTCGTTACTTATCTTTAGGCACCAGGCAAAAACATTCCTCTTCTCTCAGGCCTTTGGTAAATTGAACAATCTGTGGCCTTTTAAACTATGTGTGGGGTATTGTTTTTGTTTGCTATTATGGTATTTATTTATTTTTTATGTTGTAAACTGCACTGTGATCTTCGAATGAAGGGCGGTACAGAAATAATAATAATAATAGACTTCAGTGACATCATGATATAGTTGTGACTGATTGGCTAAATAGTATCATGGATGATGGGGATGCGGGTGGCGCTGTGGGTTAAACCACAGAGCCTAGGACTTGCCAATCAGAAGGTTGGCGGGTCGTATCCCCACGTCGGGGTGAGCTCCCGTTGCTCGGTCCCTGCTCCTGCCAACCTAGCAGTTCGAAAGCACGTCAAAGTGCAAGTAGATAAATAGGTACCGCTCTGGTGGGAAGGTAAACGGCGTTTCCATGCACTGCTCTGGTTTGCCAGAAGCGGCTTAGTCATGCTGACTACATGACCCAGAAGCTGTATGCCGGCTCCCTCGGCCGGTAAAGCGAGATGAGCGCCACAACCCCAGAGTCGGTCACGACTGGACCTAATGGTCAGGGCTCCCTTTACCTTTACTTTATCATGGATGATGAGATCATCAGACAAGGCATGATTAGCGTAGCCCTTACAGTAAATGATCAATCACGCAGATCAGCTGTTTGGCAAAGAGAGGAAGCAGAAGAGAGCAAATTGTCAATGTTCTGAAAGCCTAAGTGAGTAGATTGGGAAGCAAAACACACATTTCAACCGTCATTTACCTCATCCAGGTAGGGAACAGAGGCTCAGGAGGCTGCTTCCATGTCACTTTCCCCCTACATTGCTTCTTAGCGAAAACAAGTTATCTTGCTCATTTCCACGAATGCAGGGCACTGAATAAACACACGAGCTCTTTTTCAAAATTCTGCTGCAAAAAAAGCCAGAATTCCGACTCCTACAGTGAGTCATAAATCAGAATGTGCAATAAATTATTTTAATTCTACTGGGATGCAAACACTAACAATGAGGCATTGTGGGCTGTGTGCAAGAACTGCGCACAAAGCTCTGGCTTCAAAAACCAGTGCTCTGGGAAGTGCTCAATATTTAATTACCCTTCGCAAGAAGGGAAGCGCAGAGGAAGGTGAGGCAGAAAATATGCTGAGGAATAAGAAAGGAAGGAGGGGGTCATATATCATGTAACCTGAAGAGCAGTGGGCAAATCTGTCAGATAGATCAGGCTCGCAGAAGTTCCGCTAGGTCAGCTTGCAATTTTGAGCATGTGGGAGGGCAAGTAGGAAGCAAGACCTAATCAGGGCTCTTGAGCCTTGAGTCTAAATTTAATTGGCCCTGCTACAGAGTGAGAAAACACCCCCAACAA